CAACAAGGAAGGAAGAAAAAATAAACTTGCTTGGAGAGGGAAGATTACCATGAAAAAGAGGGATGAAGGAAAATTTTAAGCATTATCTAGAGAGAGATGAGGTAGAGTGAATGAGGTATTGTCAGATGAGATATTGTCAGATAAAAGCTGCAAAGAGTCTTAAATATGATGGTAAGGAAGCCTGAATTCCATAAGGAAGATGTATGGGGACTCTGGTGAGTGAACCTGAGGTTGAGTAAAGTTTAACTTGAAATGGCATACATTGTATAGGTAAAAAAAGAAGGCTAGTAGGAAGTGGTTTAATGTCAGTTATGAGATGATCACTATCATGGCTTTTATTTTTTATCACATATCCACCAAAAAAAAGGTTGTTATTTTGAATGTTCCAGATTAAATAAAAGAATCAGTGGAAGTCTGGTGATAAAGCAATGGAATTTTAGGAAGAAGTAACAGAAGTTCCATTTTAGAGCGGCTTGATCTTGAGAAACAACAGGTCATCCAAGAGACAGTAGTGGAGAAACACATGTAGGCACAACATGCTGAGAGGGAAAAAAAAGATTTTTAATTTGAGGTTCAGAAGCACCAAGAGGAGAAAGAAAATGAGAATAAGCCAGGCCACAAGCAAGGAGCGGTGAGCAATACAAGGTGGGAATCTGGAGATGCCCAGGGAGCCACTGAGGCCCCAAGAGAAGATTCATCTGGGAAAATGCAATTATTGAGTGATCGCAGATGAAAGCAGAGGAAACATATTTTTTATGGATTTGGGAGAGAGGGGATGCTGTCAAAGTCTCAGTTCTCCCTCTCCAGAATGAGACATAGATTGTTAAAAAAGGAAAAGAAGCAAGATTTGGGAAAAGGGAAGGCAACAGAAATAAAGGCAGCAAATTACATCTGGATCAGATGTTAACAAACAAGAAAATGTGAAAACTTAATTGTGAGGTCGTCACAAAATCTTAAAAGACCAGAAATGCTTTGTGAGATGGACTGTTTTAAACTTTCCTCCAAAGAATTATACCCTTGCAGGGTAAGGGCGTGTTTATCTAAAATGATGGCTTTTTGTTCCAAGTCTGGAATAGTATTCGGTGGGTATTAAGTGGGATGCGTTGCAGTTCAGCTGCAGGTATAAAGCAAATGATGCATTTCTTTGCTTGAGGCCCTCATTATACTCTGTAAACAATCAGAACGGAGATTTATTCTCCAGTCACTGGTTTCCTGCTCTCGGGGAAAAGCATGAGAGCACTTTAGAAAGAAAGTACTAAGACACTGATTATCTGTTTCTCCAAGCCAAATTGGTTTAGGTTTCTCTAGCCTCCTAGCAACAGCTTTATTATTATGGAGTAATTTCCCCCCAAATACTCCTATAACAAGTCTCAGATTAATGTTTCAGATAAGAAGAAAGTATATTCATTAACTCCCAGAGCCCGTCTTTTGAAACGTAAACCTTGAACGAAACACATAAGCATGGTTTTGTTTTGATGTGCTGATTTTTTTTGTTTTTTTTTTTTTTTACATTATTTAACAGTGAATGGTTAATGATGATAAATATACACTACATTTGTTCCATAAAAGAGAAAAAATAATTCCTGTTAGAAAATGTTTTCCTGCAATATTAGCATATTTCATATATTATCTTTTAATCTAGTGGTAGATATGAAGCATCACACACACATGCATCACTTTTGTTTACTTACAAACCAGCTATACTGCATATTATGTTGGAAGTAAATATTTATATGAAGAATTTATTTAGCTCTACAATAATTGCAGTTTCTGTTGTTTACAACGTTACGGAATTCAGATTTCTTATGATATCCAAGGAGAACTATGGTATGCTAAGAGAAGTGAACTAATCTCATAAATATGTACTCTTTGTTTCATGGTAAAATTTTCAGAAGTTCTTACGTTACTCAGATGCATACCTCCTCATAAACATTTTTCTGAAATCCCCAAGTAGAAAATCTATTACGTAGTCTCATTTTCAAAAGTACTTTAAGCACCAAGAAGTCACTGGGACTTAAGTAGACATGGGAGCTCCTGAAAAAAATATTTCTTCAAGCTTGTAATGACAATAAATACTGTATGGAGAAAAGATATGCAAAGGAGCATTTCTCTCATTCTCTGACTTTTTTGCCATGATACAATTGTGATTTTTCAGAAGAATGTATTTTTTTGGTGCTTTCTCTTGCTTTAACTATAGGTATAACCTTCCCAATTGCTCTCCAGAAGAATGGAGGCTGAAAACATTTTCTTCCCCCCTTTCATTATTTTGCTTTGCTCTGGGCTGCCATAGTGATAAGGTCTCCTGTGGGGCCAGCAGCTGGCTCTGTAGTGTCACTTTGTTCAGCCACACCATGAGTTGCAAAGGACTGGTGCAAGTGGATGCTTGAGGACACAGGTTTGCCAGCATGAATGTAGCTCTGCTGCTGGGGGAACGTGGGAGGCCCCTTATGCCTTTTCTTACCAAGGACTCTCTTGAGAGAGAGGAAACAAAGAAGAGGAAATCAAAGTATCTACAGTGTTTCTAGAGGATCTGACTAAAGAGTTAGAAACAGTTACATCCATACTGTAACATCCAGGTGCTTCTTGGGTAATAATGCAGAATGCCAACAGTTTCACCTGCAAAATCTTTTTAGCATTAGAAATCTTACTGGTAATTACAGAACACCACTTGCTTGAGGGCAGAGTCAGTTTATATCTGATTCACTGTTTTCCTAGAGATGGTTGTTCTATTCCTTCCTTCAAGAAAAACTCAGGTGATATGCCAATGCAGACCTGGACTCATTGTGCAGGAAAATGTACTCTGTAGTCCATTTTGGTCAAGTGAGATTTAGCACCTTCTTATGATTGAACACAATTCAGGTGCAGAGAGCTCCCATCACTCTTTATACTAGTGGTACATGTAATGACAAAGACTTAACATTAGAAATATGGATAATTTAAAGTTAGCAACCATTCTTATACAGCCAGTGCTGCAAAATACTTTGAAGTTTTAAAAAAGAAAGCTTTCAAAATGTGAAGAATAACATGTGGCAAAAATTTGCAGGAATACACAGAGGGAATAGATAGTTTCATTAAAAGTCACCTGAGGCCTAGGAGGGAGATTTCTTACAAACAATAGCAATTTGTAGCATAATGCAGGATAGTGATTCAGAGATGAGTGATTCTTACTTTAAACTGTGTTTTGAACATTTGGTATCTCTAGCAAGAGTACATATCAAGTTTAACATACTCCATATGTACAATATAATAACAAAAAAAAAATTTAAAAAGGTCTTAGCTTATTATCCAGTTTTAACACAATGTGCTTCATGCTTCTCAAAACTTCAATGGGGACTAAATAGAATATACTTGACAGTTGGACAACCTTTCCTGCCTCATATATTTGAATTCCTTTTAGCGAAAGAAAGTAGATGTTGCTACAAATCAACTCAAGTTTAACAAAAAGGTAGAGGACAGCACATGTTGCTGCCCACATCCTTCATTTTGTGGGTACAAAACCAAGCTGTCCCTGGCTGGTCCGAAGACCCTGCACAGCAATGCGCTAAGTACGAGGGGAAACAGTTTGGCACCTGCAAAGCTTACACCTGAAATCCCCAGAAGTTTTCAGAGTGCTAGGGATTTTAGAGAGATCTGAGATCCTTTTTTTTATTTTTTTTGCAAAAGAACAGTTGCTTTATATGAAGACTTTTATTGCCTAAGGACCTAAGCTTGCTTCTGCATTATTGAAAATACATATTATAGTACAGCAAACAAGCAATGATTTATTATGGAGTCAGGGGGATTAGCAACATAGTTTTGACACTTTCTTTTATGAATAAAACATATTAATAACAGCTTTGCAAAATTAAGTAAGGTAGAGCATAATATACTGAGGCAGATAATAAATGTCATAAACTTAAATAGACAAGAATATTTGTTCATGTTTCTCCTTGAAATCAGCTGTATGCAGCCTTCTTAACTATTTTACATATCTCTGAAGAAACTTTATGTAGCACTAAATCTGAAGGTGAATGTACGTCTTGAATATATGCTTAAATTTCAATCTGCAGCATTAACAACAAACAAATATTTCCCTAAAGGCTAACAGTGTTATGTCCATGTTGTTAATAGACTGTGAATATTACATATACCTAGTCAAAAATCAGGGAAATGCTTGAGTGGTAGCTGAAGTCTATCACTGACAGCATGAACTAAACACAAATTAAATTGGAGGCACCCCGCAAAAGGGATGTTTCGTGTTTCTGAACTCAGGTTGTGCTTTGTATCTGTGTTAAACATTGTAAAAGTAGGAATTACAATTGTAAGTAAAGTTCCATATATTGCACAGTGATTTTCCTGAAGCTCTGAATTGTATTAGGGCTCTTTTAATGGGATATAAACTAGAAGAATCAAATCTTTCTTTACATGCACCAACAGTTCCCATCATTTCATTCACATAAAATCTCCTTGTTGTTAGTGAAAAATGGTTGCTGAGTAAAGTAGGATATATCCCAGTATATGGTAACTGTAATAAAATATCTCCCACTTGAATAGCTGGGAATGAGTTTGGAAATAATTCCAGAAATTCTGGACAAGAAAGAATAGGTAAAATTTAAAAATTTAAATATATTTATTTAAAGACTAAGTGAAATTTTTATGGGCAAGTTTTTCTTGTAAGTTATACTTTCAGATTCTGTAATGTAACAATAATGCTACACCATATCATTTCAGAGTGTTGTTTTCCTCATAAAAACCTCACTCTTTTATAGTTATTTTGCACACCCTTTTAAATACAATTTTAGATGACATTGCCATTTCCAAAAACATCTACAACAGATCTGTCTGGTGTAAAATACATTCCTGCATTGTTGCACTTAGCAATCGAATAAGCAATTTATTACTCCTTTAGTTAATCTATTATATAACAAGGCACGACATGCCTAGCTGCGTGTAGTTCCCTCTAGCCAAGATCTTCTAACAATTTACACATTTTATCACAAAACTGAAGAGGCCATGTGAAATGAGGAAATAATAAATATTTATTCAATTGCTAGAACAGAAGCACAAAGGTAGCATCTCTGTTCACAGCTGTGGAAAGGTAAGCATTTGAAAGCTGTTTAGCACCCGTGGCTTCTCTGGAAGTAGAGCTGAGTGCAGTCCCTACGCAGTGTTGGCTCCACCCCTTCCTAAAAGCCTACTGTATGGCTTTTCTGCTGCAACTAAGTCCTATGAGCAGCCAAGTAAAGGAAGAAGGCAGTTGATGCTCCACTTCCATAATACAATATTAAAATCTGTTTGGTTTTTTGGTTTTGGTTTTTTTTCTCGTGGATAGACAATGTGTCTCTTCTGTGATTTATGCTATTTAAACATATTGACTTGCATACTTTTCCTGTTATTACGTTCAGTACTTTGAAAAAGTGTGCTGACTGATGTGAAGTTTTATCAGACAACTCTTCTATGTAAAAGTGCTGTTTGGGGGTGATAATGAGACCACCAAGTAGGAGCTGATATTCTGCTTCAGCCACTGACCTATCCTGTAAGTCCCTTATCTCTCTCTCTTCTCGTTTTCGGATGTAAAATATTTCCTTTTGGAAAGTACTTCAATGACTTTAAAGATTTGTTCCCTGCTGGATTATACTTTTCCTACTCTCAAAGAAAATAATGGGCAACATGTGAATAAAGAATTCAGCAAAAGTACATACCACCTTATGGCTTACTGCTCTCATTGCCATTTCTAGTCTACAGATAATTAACAAAGAAAAGCAAAATGTCTGAATGAAAATACAGTCATGAGCTTCACTGAAGTCAGTGAAAGAGCCCCACAAGTTCATTCAAATGTCTTCCCTGGAATAACCCATTTCTTGCTGAAAAACTGCATTGTTCTTATGGGTGTTAAACATAATATTTGTTTTACATCACCATCCAAATTGCTTCTACACGGTACACATATCAACCACCCCACCTGTTCCTGCTGTGCATTTTAAATAACTTTACAGAATCCTTTTGACTTGCAAACTAGAGTTTTTCCCAGTCAATGGGACTTCATCACATACCTCTTTTACAAAACACATTTATTTCATAGGGTGCTGAAGTCCTTATTGATTGTATATAGGAATTCAGATTAGAGTTTACAAACACTATTTTTTTCTGATCTGTTACATTGTGATTCCTTTCATCTTCAATTTTTCTCACATTTTTCAGCATTTTTGTATTAGTTCTGATCCATTCGTATGTCTATATTCTCTCTTTTAATACTCTCACTCCTTTTTATCTTTATCAGCTTATTTCTGCTTGCTTTTTCTTCTTGTTACGGTTTTCCACTTCTGTCTTCTGTATTTGCACTCATCCCCTTTCCTTCCTTTCAAGCTAACAAATGTAGACTGTATTTACAGACTGGATTTTTTTAAAGAATAACATATCAAAGTCAGACTACAAATATTACTTATGCCTGATGTCAGTTATTCACCGCTTGTCACTTCCAATGCACACATCACTAAAGAACCTTCACTGACACTCTGGCCCAAAGTATAAAAACTCTGCCACTACATTTCAAAAAACAACAAATCTTTTCATGTATCAGCTGTCAAAAGAAGCTCTCAGAACAGCCAACAGAGAAAGGGACACAGTCACTACCCACATGCACTATATAAATATCATCAGATACCTACTAGCAGCAAGAGTTGATAACTTGGGGTGGGGGGGAGGCCCTTTATGAGTAGCTCCAATGCAGTAACATGGATTGATTTTTTCTCTCTCTTTTTTTTTTCCCCAACCTCCCCTTGCCAGGGTATCTGGTGCACTCTTCAAAGCAGGTCCTGGAGGTAGCAGTGCCTGGAACACACCTGCAGCTCCACTGGAGGAACGCTGTGGGTGAGTGCCAGCATGGTATTGCACATTTGGGGCTAGACAATGTATAAGGCCATGTTGTGCTGCCTGTTGTGCTGCTGAATGAGCTATTCCCAGCAGAGAAATCAAGTAAGGAAGAAAAAGCAAGGCTTGGAAGGTTGGGTAGTTTTATATTCTGCAGGGAGTGCTGCTGCCACCCCTCTTCATGTAAACTGGAAAAAAAAAAGGGAAAGAGCTGATTCAGGGCAGCAATTCTTGCAGATGAAGTTCTTGAGAAAGTGGCATCTGTTCCTACTAATAGAGTGCTTTACCAAAGAGGAGAAAAAACATGTACATAACTATAAAGGCAATACAAGATTTCATGTGTTAACCTTATACTTCAGCCTTTCACTAAGACTTTTGCTCGTCACATTAGCGTGTTACTGTGATTGCAAAGTGCTTCAGTATAAGCAGCCTGTCCTAGTACTTAAAAAATTGTACAAATACAAAAGATAGCATGAAATAAACATTATGATTAATTTATCTTTGATATATCATAGTTGTTTAAATAGCAAGTTATTAATTTCTACATATAATTCAGCTCATGCTCATCTTTTAATATTCCTTCTTTTTTTTCTTTACTGTTCCCAAGATCCTTGTAAAGCTGACCGTCTTTTCTGAGGAAAACAATAAGTAACTAAATCTTTAAAAAAGGCTACAGCAACTTTCTTTCAAAAAAAAATGAACACTACTGTCTGGGTTAATAATTTACTAATCCAGACCATGTCTAGTTCTTGAGAACTAGGTGTGTTGTTTTGTCATTTTCCCCATGTGCTTCTGAGCTAGTTCTGCACCTCGCACAACAGTTTAATAATGGAGTCACCCTGAAATCAGAACTCACAGCTTTTGGGTTTATTCCCACACCGCAACTCAGCTGGCTTGGGTGATACTCAGTCACACTCAGCAATCTTGTCCTCTTTTGAATTTTCTAGCTCCTGGGAATTAAAGGAGAAAGCCATGCAACAAGGCAATGAATGACTCCTGTAGTCCCTCTCCCCTAGTGTTTACTGTGTGCTATAGGATCTGCTAGATCTTTCTCATCTCCCCTTCTGATCTAGACTTCCCTGATAGCATCACTTCCCATGCTGGCTTGATTAGCTGAAGAAAAGAAATGCCTGCCCCAGTGTTTGAGAGCTGTGCAACAGCCAGAGAGCTGCAGGCTGATGTGAGCATAGGAGTAGGGTGGGGTTTTTTTCCATGGATGAATTATGTTCTGCAGTTTAGTGTCATCACATTTTCTATCTGTTACTAATTCTGTTGTTATGTGCCCTTCTCTAACGTGGTCATGAGTTTGTTCTTATATTCCTCTCTTAGAATACTGAGAAATGTGATGCTCTGCGGTTTTAGTCCCTGTAATGAGAACAAGGCAGTTCTCCTCACACACAAAATTTATAATTATACACGACTATATTGTGTTACTGACAACTAATTAGAATCTTTGTTGAAATGACATTACTTTATTACATATCATTAACACAACATGTCAAAACTAGCATGACAGTTATTTTTATATGAAAAATAAGCTTACTTTTTTAAGTGAAAGCAACAAAGTTACAGTAATTTTATTATCAGTATTTTAATATATTTTATATTATTGTATTTTAATATATTTCATATTATTGTTAATGAGGCATGGTCATTTGGTGTATGATCACAGCAAAATCACAAAAAGGGAATTTCTCCTTTAAAATATGTTAGCGATTATCAATTTTGTCCTCTGCTTTTATTATGCAGGTTAAATAAAATTCAAAAAACATGAAATGCCCAAGGGGGTGCCCTGAAATTATAGCATTAAGATAATGTTTTGCTCCATATTCTTAGAGCACAGGGTACACATTAACTAATTTACTCTCCTCCTCCCTGAAGTAAATAATATTATTATCATATTGCATACATTTAAACAGAGACAAGGAATTGAAGTGAATTCCTGGTGGCCAGACAGTAAGTAAAATGCTGGTGTGGGGATAAGGACACAGGGCTCTGCACTTTCGAGCAGGCTGAATATCAGGATATCACATATGCTTCTCACTCATGGATTTAATTGAGGGCAAGGACAGTAAACCACCTGTTGCTAGTGAAAAGGTGTTTTGCAACTACCAATACACACTTAGAAAGAAAAAACTATGTTCAGAGATTGTAATTAAAAGTTTCTTACTACCTATAACAAGTTCAGGAGTAAAATAAGCATATAGTCACTTAGTCACTTCCTATAAGGTTGCATGATTCTTGTTTATTGGAGTAATCAAGGAATCACTCTTGAAGTGCATTTACCTGCTAGGTTTGAATGGTTTTAACTAGTTAATAAGTATGTTTGTCATCAGGGTTCTGTAGGAGACAGTTGTGAATTTAAGCCATAGTTTGCAAGGTACCTACAATTTTTCCCTGACGATATTATGGTGTTGGTAACATAAAAAAACTAATGTGAGGGTAGCACGCCCTTGGCAGCACACTAAATATGCCGCAAGACACATAACCAATGGGTATAATTTGCAAATGTGTATGGAGAATCAGTCTTGACAGTTTTGTTTACAAAGGCAGGCAGCTATTTGCTGAGAAGAGATATGACATGGTATTCGTTTTGCTGCTGCTAAGCCAAAGGGATTGGAACTATGATAACAAACTGTTAGATTTGATTGTTGGAATGCTTATGCAATGTTAGTAATAAAGGGTGTTTAAAAGCATATCTCGTTTGTTCTTGGGCAATCATATGGTATTTCTTATAATAATCTTCCTGGGACACTTAAAAGGACAAGCTAATTAAAGAACTGATAACTGTCTGGCTCAGCTTTAATGGGTTTGTGTTCTCTAAGTAGGTGTATGTAGGAAAAAAGGGCAGACGTGTCTTTATTTCTCTTACTGCATGGGTTGAGGCAAGATGTCAAGTGATGTAGTTGTGGCCTCACACCTTTCAGTTCCTTAATTTTGGCTAGGATTTCCTCCACACGCCTTCCGAAACTGGAAAATAAACAGCTGTAACAATCTCATAAGTAAGGCCTCCTAACACTCAAAGATAGGACAAGAGTAATGGCTTTAAACTGAAAGAGGGTAGGTTTAGATTAGATAAGAAAGAAATTCTTTACTATGAGCGTGGTGAGGCACTGGAACATCCCTTGAAGTTTCAAGACCAGATTGGACTGGGCTCTGAACAACCTGCTCTAGTAGAAGGTGTCCCTGCTAATGGCAGGGTGACTGGAACTAGATTATCTTAAAGGTCTCTTACACAAGGGTCTCTTGCACAAACCATTCTAAGTAGTGCTGAGACCTTCAGGGAGCTGAGAAGGGTGTTTCTGGGTTTTTTCACCACACTATTGACCACCAGAAGAATGGGTTAGCATGACTAACACATCTCCTTTGTCATCAGTCCCCTGCTTCAAACAATACTGAGAAAGTACTTTTCCCAGCATTTCTAAATACCTGCACCATTTACAGCCTCTACTAACACACTGCTTACACATTTTCTACAAAGCTTATGATTAAAGTAAAAAAAAAACTCCCAAACTTACATAATACTGTCCAGTGTACAAAGACTACAGAGCTTGTGCAAGCAGATAGATATACATGAAGGGTAGGAATGGAGGACTCAGCCAGTTTTCTGTGAAATACTACTCACTGAGCTTTGTTCAGTGTGTTCATGCAGCTCAGTAATGTGCAGGTATGGACTGATCCAGCTGATGGCTAAAGTGGTGCTTTTTTCCAGCCATCTCATCTCCACGTCAGCAGGCATAGCTGAGGTGATGGCTGGATAGGCTGAGCAGGCAGACCAGGCTGACCATCCAAAATGATGCACATGCCTCACTAATGGATTTAACCAAGGCTGAGTACACTAGAAGATGTAGGTGATGGTGCAGGTTACAGCTTGGTCTGTTGAGCTTGTTGCTGATCCCGGTTCACACCTCCTGGTCAGCTGACTGGAGGGCCTCAGAACTAAATACATCCTACAGGTGTAAGGGCAGAGATGAAGGCTACACCACTTAGTATTTGAGTTGATGTGCCTAATTCAATCTGAGTGCCACAGTAATACAGGCAACGGTCTGCATTTTTAAATCCTTACACATAAGTTTACATAAGGAGAACGTATGCAAAGCCCAAACTTTCCACAGACAGGATTTTAGAGCTAACCAGCTCAGTCATTCTTACTCACAGTTACAGGTGATATTCTGAATAGCATATGCCATGCCAAAATACAACTGAAATCCTCTTTGAATGCAAGCAGACCACAGGTTTAGCAGCAGCTGTGAGATGGAGACTTACTGTTAATGGCAGATTCAAGTAGCGTGAACAATAATGAGGCTCTGTTAAAGGCGGACAGAGCTTGTCTCCATTAGAACTGGACCTTGAGAATCTGTGTTAATTAACACAGTTTTAAGTGGTGTCAGCTGTTTCTGAGTAAACCTATTGATTAGGTCTTATAAGAATATGGATTTAGAAATACAGTTATTATCAATAGGTGGGGGGTTAATTTTTTTAATCTCAAAACCTTTTAAAAGTTGTGAAATATTTTAATGGACTGACAAGATTAACGCATTTGATAATAATGTTTTTTGGAAAGCATAAAGAAGAAATCAGTCTTGAATGCAATAGTTTTATATTCATTTCCAGAAGTTCTTAACCTAGTTCCAGACAACACAATTTCTTATGTACATTTTTTACTCCCATTGAGCAGTCTTATTGAGTCAGAGGAGTTTAATCAGGTATAACCATGTTTATAAAATTAGTTTCTTACTTTAGATATTATTTATAAATCAGGAGTTTATATGCTTATTTATTTATAAATCAGTATCTCAAAATGCATAGATTTGTGTACAAGGACAATCATGTAAGGTACCCCTAAATGTCATCCTAAGGCCAGGGTGCTGGTTACATTAGAGGGATATGGAACATGATGAAGTCCATGGATGTGCATGATGAGTTCATGGCTGCAACTTGTCTTGCAGTGGGAAGATCTCTCACCACTGCTTCAATGGGTTGGTCCTCTGTCTGAGGCAGAGGCTGGGCTGTCACTTGTCTTGATGGTGAGAGCAAAGATCATATTTTAGTACTTATATTAAAATTAAAAGGTGAGACTTTAATTGTATTATTCCATACTTCTTCCCAGAGGGAGCAGCTGCACAGTGTGGCATAATTTAATAAAGCTATCCATCATGTGATGCCTGGATGTGAAAAACTTACCAGGTAGTACTGTAAGACACAACTCCATAGTCCTCGTTTTGTCACTAAAGGCACAGCAGAACCACTATAAATATGCCTAGGCTTTAGCAAATGTTTGTACATTGATCTAAAGTTAAAATATTGACAAACCTCTCTTTTTGACTAGGAATTGAGGAATTTTCTGGCCAGAACAAGTTATCTAGTTTTACATTACAAATGCATTTGCCTACTCCTCCCCTACTACAGACATCCAGCCTAAAGAATAAAGAATGCATGTCCAGTAAAAGTTGGTCACGTGAGGTGGGGTGCCTGTGTATTGAACAAATTAAGTACCCTTCGTGTGGGCAGGGCGTTTGTTCAGCAGAAGCTACAGGGCTGATGGTTGGCTTCTGTCCCTAGTGCATAATGCAGCAAGCAGATCTCAATAGTACCTCGCATGTATGATGTAGCTCTAGTACACTGGCTTTACTTAAGGCTGCCTGATGGCTTCTCCATGGCTATTACATTGTTTTGTATTTTCAGACTTTTTACCCCAACCCATATCCTTTTTTAATTTTAAGACAAAACAAAAAATTTATTTCCTCCCACTCCCCCAGCTACAGGAATAAAGGTTAAAAGTCACATACTTTTGATTCTCTTTCTCTAAAGCTACCATGTTACCATGTCTAGGAAGCAGAAGGTCCTTGATGATGTGGAACAGCTCACATGCTGCACATTCCCCTCCTTCCTCACGTTACCTGTATCTTTCCACGGGCATCTCATGGACTACACAGAAAATTTCTAGGCAATAGGTAGGGGAACTGACAAACTGCTTCTTTGGAGCACAAAAAAGCAACTTGGTCTAGTACTAAACTTGAGGAGCTGGCTTAGCACCAAAGGATCAGTGCTACATTACTGCTCTGTCTGGGAAGCTGAGCTCTGGGCAAACAGTAAGGGCTCCAGGGTGGGATCTTTTAACTGCTGGGGCTTAATGAACGTGACAGGGAAAGAGCTTTTAAGGAGGGCTGCTCAGTTAGAGAGCTTATCAAGTTTATACCTGGTCTTAACAACCCTAGAGTAGTCTAGTTTTGTTACTGCCTTCTTAAAATGTCCCTTGTTAACATACAGTAATGAGTCGTTTTGCTCATTGCACCTCTATACAAATGGCTGAAATCTAGCTACCCTTCAGAGAAGGCATCATACTTACCATTTATAAGTCTGTCAGTCTCTTCTAAGTGAGATGTGAATGAGGGGAAATTCTCCTCCCTCTATCCTTTTAACTGGCATGACAGGGCTGCATGTGTTGACCTCAAGTACCTGAACTGAAGGTCTGAAATCGATAAGGTTGGGAGAAGTTTATAGGATGAGCATTAGAGCACTATGACCAAAAAAAAAAAAAAAAAAAAAAAAAAAAAAAAAAAAAAAAAAAAAAAAAGTGCTTTTAAAGGTACCTCAATGGTCAGTGAGCAACTGGACACGTAGAACAATAGGCAAATGAGTAGCAACGTTTGAAAGAAGATCTGTGACCTACCACAGATAACGGGGTAAAGGTGCATCTGAAACTCGTTTTTCAGTAGTTCTTGGTGGCTGCCAAGGACAGAATGCTAAGAAACCAGTCTTCACGATCCCATCTACCCTGAGCAATAAAACACCCACCCTTAATTTAACAGGAGTCAGCTCCTGAGGCATAAACAGGCAGCTGAAGCACCGCGCGTAGGCTGACTTCAGTGCTGGATGCCGAGCAGCGCTTGGCACAGGTGAAGAGGTTTTCATCACAGACCTAAATTAACTTCGGTGAAGTTACTCCGTGTCTGCCAGTGGCGGAGGAACAATCTTCGCATGGGAGAAGCGTCCAGCCTGCCACCCGCCGCCCTCCCTTGCCGGCGCCGCTCGGCCGAACAAAGGCGGCAGCGGCGGGTCCCCTTTGTGCGGCGCGGGCAGGAGAAGGGGCGATCCCGCCCGCTCGGAGCTCCCCGCCCCGCCAGCCCGGCCCGGCGGCGGCCCAGAGGAAGCGCCGGCTGCGCGGCGGGCGGGCGGCTGCGAACAGCTCGGTCCGGCCTCCGCGCCCCGTTCCCGCCCCTCCACCGCCGATCCTCCGCCCCCTCCGCCTCCTCCTCGCGGCGGCGGCGGCGGCTTTCTCGGCTCTGGCTCCTCGCGCTTCTCCGCGGCTTCGCCTCGCTCCTCTCCGGGAGGCTCCCGCGCCGCGCTGGCCAGGACGGTGAGTGCGGCGTCGGCTCGGGGCTGAGCGCGGCGCCGTCCCGCAGCGGTGCCCCCGCTGGCCGGGGGCGGCCCCGGGGAGCGGGGGCGGGCGGGACCCCTACTACCACCCCCGGCGGGCGTCTGGCGAAGGGGCTGCAGCGCGGGCGGGGGTACGGTGCTGGTGGCGCCGCGCTGCCCCGGGGACGGGCGGGGGCTCGCCCCCTCCGGGCGCTGCGGCAGGAGCCGCCCAGCCCAGCCCAGCCCTGCCCAGCCCTGCCTCGCCGCCGGGGGTCGGCGGGCGGGCAGCTCCCTCTGGGGACTGAGAGCAGCCCCGTGGGGTGGGTGTCGCGGGTGGGTGCCTCGCCGGCCGGGCCGGCTTCTCCCCTGCCTCCGGGAGAGGCGGCTCCGACCCCCAGCTGGCGAGCGGGTCCGCGGCAGAGCGGGTAGAGCGGTTTGGCTCTTCTGAAATGCCTCGCTAACGTCAGGGGAAAACATATGGCCCAGGAGAAAGCCGCTGGAAGCGATAGCTGTTGAACTCCTCCGAGTTATTTGCCCGGGTCGGTGCGAAGTGAGAACTTCCTCCCGGGATGCCCTTTCGGGGGATGCGGGGCTGAGCGCATGGCTGCCTCCCCTGGGTCTGCCCCGCATCTGTCACAGCACCGCCTGCCACGGGGCCTGCCGGCGCCTGCTCTCCTTTCAGAGTGCTAATCTGACCTCAAGAAAACTTTAATTGGGAGAGGGGAGGAGGCTGATCCAAAGGTAATATACTTAAACATGTTGGGTTTTTTTCCCTTCTCTTCTTCCTTCCCTCTCTCAGACAAGGCGTCTGTGAAAAGGAGGAAAAGGATGGAATTGTGTCCAAGAGTCCAGTGTATATGGCAGCACGTAGTGCAGAGAGGAAGGTTAAAACTTTCAAAGACCTGTCATTGCCAAATTAACATCTCCAGTGAATCATAGCATTAATTTCTTTAAACTTGAATTTTATGGTCATTTGCGTGTTGATCCTTGCTTGTGTTTGAAGTCTGCAGATGCTGTGTTCAGATATATAAGGATGAAATGTCTCAGTTGTGTTTGAAATGACAATGCTATTGTGTTTTGTAAGCAGCAAGACAGCTTTTATCTTTAATGTAGACCATTTTATCACTCAGCTGTAAATACTTGCTCTGTTTGTAAATCTGCCACTGATTTGTTGGTTGGCTTTGCAGAGGTCACTTTAGTTCATCAAATACAGGCATTTTTTTGGGAAAATACCTGTATTGATTTAATATGGTACTGGGTCAAACTTGGCATTTATAATTTATTTCACATTGGTACTAATGTGCCATATGAGCCAGGCTTTATAAAGTAACTGTTCCTTGGTTCTGCGTGTAAAGCCTACTGGCAGATCTCGGTGTGTGGTGTACAGGAGGTGTGCAGCTTGGCTTGTGTCTGATGTTAAGTGTCCTACTTATTTAAAAATGTTGGGAGCTCTAAAAAGGTCAGTGTAATCCATACCACACATGCGCTCAACTGACCTAGAATTAACAAGATAAAGCACTTTTAAGCGTTTCTGAAGTAAAAGTAGGGTGTTACTTCCTCGTGCTAACAATGGAATGGTTTTTCAAAGCATCCAGTGCTATGCTCCCCAATTTGAAGGGTGGCAAAACACCCACCCCGCTGCTGCAAAGCTTGGCTTAAGCTGGTGAGACGGGTCATGAGAGCAGAAGGCACCAGCAGCGTGAAGATGCTCCCTGGAGAGATGAACACAATGGTGACGGTGGCCAAGGGAACTGGGTGCAGAGACCACCATCAGGGACGGTGGGCAGCCCTTGCCATGATGTGGGGCTGTTGGAGTTGACGAGCTGTGTGCCCTTTCAGGGCCCTCATTTTAAGTGGGTTAGTAACTTAGCATGTCAGTTGATATTTCATGCTGTGGCACTGAGTTTCCCCTCTGGGTTTCAGGAGGCAGCAGGCAGGTGCCTGTGCACCGCGGTGGAGATGCAGGCATAGAAGGAATGTGGTGGTTTGTGTGATTTACTGCCTCGATGCCTTGCACTTGCCTGTGCCAGCAAGTTCACTCTGTTGCACAGAAGGCCCAGACTGCCTTCATGCCAGTGCATCCATGTTAAGAAAATCATGTTGCAAGCTAAAGTTAAGAGGGCAGCAGTGTTTCCTAGATTCATGTGGAGACCATTCACTGTCACTTTGCTAGAGTAGTTCATGTGTCCTGCTGTAGCACTTGGCCAAAAGCAGCCTCCTTTCCTTCTCCGCATGGGCTTGTGGTAGGCATGCTGGAGATCTCAAATTGTTACTGGAGGCACTTAATATAGGTGCAGTCTTCCACTGGAAAGGAGATGGTTTTCTGTTAAAGGTTCATGCTGTGCTTCAAAATCTGGAGGGCTAAGTTTGATTCAGTGAGGCAAAACTCAGTCGAATTGTAGAATGTAGCCTTGCAAACCTGTTAGAGTTGCTCAGAGCTACAGAGCAGCTTTTAGATACTGTGCTAGTGTATAAAGGGAAGGTGTTTCTCAAATGTGCTTTTGTAAGTACATTTCCCAGTGCTGACTAAGTTGGAAGTCAGTACACTGGATTATCATAGGGTAGATTTTGGCCATTAATTGTGATGGAACGCAGAGTAAATGAAGGGTCATGTTTACAGCCTGCCCAGAACCAGAGAGTATATCTTTAAATTCTGGAACATCTCTGCTCTCTCACTGGCTGACAATGTTTCTTGCTTTCCACTGCTAGATTAGAGCTCCTAATTTTGAATTAAACTGAGGGGTAAGTATATGTCAGCTACAAAGTGTTTTTATTTCAAGGAAGTTTCATTTTAGCAGGGCACGTTCTGAGAAGTTAAAAGAACTAGTTTGTTTGATTTGTCCACAGGGTTGAAGACCTCTAGGAGTTGGAGGTTTAAATAAAATTTAAAAAAAAAAAGAAAAAAGAAAAGGCTTGGATTGTCTTAAATGGAAGGTACAAGGGCTGCTTGGAAACTGCATTTTAAGGAGGAGAGAAAGTTTGCCAAGAGGGGCTGTGGACCTTGCTGTGAGAGTAAGATACTGCAAGTTACCAGAAAGCCTAAAAGGAATGAAGTGAAGGAGTAGATTGACTGTTGGAGAGCAGAAACTACAGGAATAGCGTCTGAATTGCCAAAAGCTAGAGGATGAAGAAATTTAAGATGAAGAGGGGAAAAATTATAAAAGGAGGAGGAAAAGAGAACTTGGCTATGTTGTTGTGAGGACCAGGCTATAGTTGAAAAATGTATCTGCTGCCTCTAAAATTAGCAACTGTAACCAGTTTTAGATAAGGATAAAGATTTGAACAGAGAAGAAAGATAGGGTAGAAATAAAGAAATCCATGGAAATGACCAGAATAAACATCTTACGCCTGCTTCCAGAATCCAGACTAAGTCAGCAAATGGTCTCTGTTTTGGGAGTCTGAGAGTATTGGCACAGAACACTGGAGCCAAGTTAAAAAAAACCCTCAGGATTGGTTGTTATCTGTCAGGTTGAATGTAGCAGTTGAGATAGTAAGATAGCAAAAGACATAGTTCTGTTTATTTTAAAAAGGAGAAGAGAACAAAATCTTTACACCTTTTACTCTGGTCTCAATAGTATTCAAGGATTTAGAACAAATCTGGAACAGAAGAAGTATTTAAGTATACAAAGATAAGTGGAAAACAGGATAAAATGCATCATGGATTTGCCACAATTAGGTCATGGAAGACTAAAATCTTATTATTACTGGTTAAATACTGAATGTTGTAGACAAAAGGAGCAGAAGGCTTCAGTTCTATGTGTACACACCATGGCGGGCGTGACACTGAAAATAACTAAACTGGAAATGTGAGGCTTGGCTAAAGAATGGTGAGGTGTCTTCTGAAGGAGAAATTGTGACTGCGTGAATAAAGGAATTACTGATCTAGATCAGTATTAGTGGGGAGCTGGTCTCTTTGCTTTGCCATACTGGCTGAGATAACTGTATGAAAAGGATAATTAGCTAACTTAGCTGATGAGGCTAAGTTAGGAAACCTAGTCAGCACTGAGGTTAGTTGGATTACTGCACAGGAAGAATTGAATGTCTGTGATGACTGAAGCAATAGGAATGACAGGAAGTTAAATAGCTCTAAAAGCAAAGTTATCTACTGAATGATTATTAACAAGTCTGCTATCAGATGGCAGGTCATCCCTTAAAACAGGAGTGGAGGAAAAGGCCTGACTGCCACAGTCAAACAGGGGTACTCTTATGTGATATACTGTGTGTGAAATGGAAGCAAATGTGATCCTCAGTGGGAGCTCTTCAGTGGAGATAGACAAGGTATTAGGGAGACCTCATGTCAAATACTGTACATAGTTCTGGCCACTTATGTACAGAAAATATTAAATTCTAGTGGAACGTGTACAGGAACATCCAAACTACAAAGATGATGCCGTATGAAGAGTCTGGAGTTACATGAGAGACCAAGACTTAAGGTACTCTGGCTTTTGTGGCTTAATAATGGCAGAGATGGGAGATAGTAACTGCTTATAAATTCCGTGGGGCAGATTTCTGGAGAAGAGGAAGGGTCATAAACTGAAGGTTTGTTCTGTGATTTTGGATTAAAAACTTGATGTACAGAAGGATGATGTGATGGCTTGCTGAATGAATGTTAGAATAATGTACATGAGGAATTCAAAAGGAATTTCCTAACTGTCAGATTTTAGATGCACTGCTAGCTGTAGGTCTCCTAAGTACCAGCTAAGTGTTGAAGTTTGCATGTGACTGTTAATGAATTGAGCAGTTCAAGTTACT